AAGTCGATAAACAATTTTGCGTGTCCGAAATTCTGCTTAAATGCTATAACAGAAAAAAATTACACCTAACCAAGCAAGTATTTATGGTGAAAAATGAATCCATTACGATAATGTAAAGTGCAAGAGAACGTATGTATGTGAAGCCTGCCAATCCACCGAACTGACACTAGACCTTGAAATCTGAAAAGATCTTTACAGAGAACCTATGCCGAATGCAACTGATTCGTTTAATGTGAGCATTGACCAGACATGAAAGTGTTATACTCCATCATGACAACTCTCGACTACATGTTGCAATAACAGTTAAAAACTATGTAGTGGGAAACCTCACGCGTCTTATAGTTGAGACCTTGAACGGCCATTTTATTATTTATTTCGATCAATGCAAAACTCTTTCTCTCTCTCTCTTGAATACACTTAACTTCAGAACATGGTATACGAAATTGGTTTCAGACTCAAAAGATGAGCGTTCCTTTTGTTTTGGAATCCATATGCTGCCACATCGATCGATGCAGATCTTTCTCCCTTGAATACACTTGACTTCAAAACATGGTACACGAAAATGGCTTCAGACTCAAAAGGTGAGCAGTACTTTTGTCTTGGAATCAGTGTTGCCATATATTTTTTGAAGAAAACTTTTTATTTTTATGAAAAAAACTTTTTTTCAACAAAAAAAACTTTTTTTTGTACTAAAATTACAAAATACCCAAGAAAAATCAGTGAAAAAATTAGCAAATTGGGGAATTTTAAATAGCTTAATGATAATTGGTACAGAACTTTTCCTTAACATCAGTAGCAAGGAATTACTGGATATTGTGGTCTTAGACACCATAAATTTACACTTGAAATGTCATGATGAATCTATGTAGATTCTGTGTACTACAAGAGGAAACCTCTGAACTTTTGTAACTACCCGTCATTGGGAACTCGAAACACGAAGATTTTGTCTTACCCAGACCCAGATGATATCTTCAAACACTCACCGATTAATCCATTTATCTTCATGCGCGATTATTATTTTGTTAATGGTAAACATTGTTTTTTTATTTTAAACTTATTTATTGATTAAATAAAATAAAAACTGAAAAACTGTATAAATTTTCAAAAAACTTTTTTTATTGGAATAAAACTTGAAAACTTTTTTGAATCTCAAAAAACTTGCAAAAAAAGGGAAAACTTGACATATGGTAACACTGCTTGGAATCCATATGCTGCCACATCGATCGATGCAGAACTTTCACTCTCTCTCTTGCATAGACTTGACTTCAAAACAGGGCTTCAGACCCAAAAGATGAGCAGTACTTTTGTCTTGGAATCCATATGCTGCTACATCGATAGATTCAGAACTCTCTCTATCTCTTTTGAATACACTTGACTTCAAAACATGGTATACGAACTTGGCTACAGACTCAAAAGATGAGTATTACTTTTGTCTTGGAATCCATATGCTGCCACATCGATCGATGCAAAACTCTCCCTCTCTTTTGAATACACTTGACTTCAAAACAGGGCTTCAGACTGCACTTTTGTCTTGGAATCCATATGATGCTAGAAAGTTGGGAACAGGTTATACATATATATTATTTTGAGTCAATTTGTATTTTAACAGGGGTTATATGGGGGTAAGGTCAAATATGGACCGATTTGTTTTTTATAAAACTTGTCTGTGAATTTCATAGCTATTTCGGGATTTTTAAATATTAAAGTAATTTTTTATAGGTGATATAATATGGGGGCTACTGTTAAATGGGATTTTACAGTGTAAAATAATGTCAAACAAAAATAAAAATTCTAGTTTCTCCTATATTTGGGCTCCATCGAGTTTTCAGCAGACAGACGGACGAAAGTAGCTAGATCGTTTTAGATTCTTTTATAGATGCAGAATATAACATATTCGTGTGTAAATAGCTTCTAAAAGTAATGATAAAAACAATTAATTGTTAGTGAATTTTTTTTATGAGCTTTAAGTTTTCTTCAGTTGTCTAAATTTCTTTATTATTATTCTTTTAATATGTTGCCCTGTGTTTTTAGCGCCATTCTTTTTATCTTACATTTAAAGTTGATGCTAAACAATTATTTCGGCCAAGTTTAACTTTTGATCTTCTTAATTAAAAAAAAAAAAAAACTGTTTTCTTATTTACTTCCGCTAAAATAGTTTTATTGTCAGATTTTGTTTAAACATTTTTAACATCTTCTTAAAAGCATAAGAAGTATCTTTAAAAAAACTAAGTAGTTAAAAAATGCGGCAATTAAAATGCGCTTGCGGCGGTATTTAAACTAGAACTATCATTAAGCAAGGTATTCGTTAAACGAAATATTTAGGAAAAGTAAATAATAAAGAAATAAGTAGTTTAACAAAGAAGTCGATTTTTATACCCTATACCACTATAGTGGGGAGGGTATTATACGTTTGTGATGATGTTTGTAACACACAAAAATATTGGTCCTACACCCACCTTAAAGTATACCCATCGACTCAGAATCACTTTTTGAGTTGATTAAGACATGTCCGTCCGTCTGTCCGGCTGGCTGGCTGGCTGTCCATGTAAACCTTGTGCGCAAGGTACAGGCCAAAATTTTCAAGATAATTTGATGAAATTTGGACCAAGCATGTTTTTTGGCACAAGGACGAAGCCTATTGAAAATAGTTGAAATCGGTCCATTATTTCACCTGTACCTCCCGATTTGGGCTTTTTATGCCATAATTACGTCAAATATACTATTATCTCTCTAAAAATTGGCACAAATAAGTTTTATATAAGTATAAATGACACTGCAGATTTTCGTAATGTTCGGCCCTTATTTGCCCATAGCCCCCATACAAACCCCCCTTCAAAAAATTTCTTAAACGTCTAAAATTGACTTGTAACCATTTGTATCGCAATGAAACTCAACATAACTAAATATTATTTAAAAATATATCCTTATACTCATGATGTAGGGTATTATATGGTCGGCCATGCTCGACTATACTTTCCTACTATTTATTTTTCTGCTTGTCTTTTAAACGCCTAAACACTAAATTTATTCTAGGGGCATTTTTACGTCATAATAGTTCTTTTAATATTTGCTACCTATTCAATCAATTTTTTTTAATTAAATATTTCAATTTGTATGATCTCATTTATGAAAATATAGAAAAAAATTGTATCTACATAAATATCTTTTAATAAATATCAAACTTCAAATGTCATGTATACAACTTTTAAAGATTTGTTTCAAGAATTTGAAAGCATAAGGGTTGCCATATTGAAAAAAAAACTATTTACAAAAAATTTTTAGGTTTTTTACTTAAAAATAGTTTTGCACATACATTTTGTTAGTACCTTCTGCATAATTTCGAATATTTACGAAAAGCGTTCATGTTTGATCAAAAGTTCTTTGAAAGTTTCTTCATACTTTAAATTTTTCGTACATATGGCAACACTAAATTATAAAGTAGTATATGCGACGTTAGAAAAACGTGCTAAACAACTCATTTGTTTGATTGGGACTAGTACCCTATATGCAGCATAACTTAATGTATTATCTTGTATAACCTATAAAAAAGTACTGATCGCACATCCCTCTTAATGTATGTGAAAAGTATGTTTGGAGATAATTTAACAACATCCGTCTGTCTGTCCGTAATATCTGATTTTCAGCATGACTTGTACAATACGAATCGAATATATCATTTCAAATTCCTTTAGAAAATATTTCAGCGGTTTTAAATCGCGTAACTCTTTATTAGAATGAAAAACTTAAGGAATCAATTATGACATCAATTTTGTTATGTAGCGCTGCCTTGGAAATATTCCAGCTTTTCTATACATCCAATATCTTTAATAAAGCAAATTCGTTTCTAAAACAAATTCACCAGGATCAGGAGAAATTTCTGCCATTCGTCAAATATTCGTGTATTTTATTTTTAATCTTGAGTTGAAGGAGTTTGAATAATTAAAAGTTCTGATATTTTTTACATATATATTTTGCCATAGGGTATACAAAATTCGTTATTTACAACATTTACAACAGTTTTGTTCTCTTTGCTACCAAATGTAGGAAGTTGTACCAATAATAAGACACAAACTGTTATGGCTCATGTTCAGTAATGCGCAAGTCTTGATTGTGTCATACCATTATAAAAATGTGAAAAAAGGACTACAAAAAGATTTTAGTTAAAAAAATGAACAGCTGTAGGAAAGGAGTAAACTCATTTGCTAAAGAAATATATTAATATTAAACTAAACCAATAAAACAAAATAACTTAAAGTGTCTTATATTAAAAAAGCAACTAAACAGAACCTTTAAAAAACCCCAAAAAATCTCTTAAAATAATGTCATATTTACAAACAACATCTTCAACAACTACAACAACCTTACAGTCTATACCACCAAATAGTGCAAGACGTGTACGCACTGATTTGAAAACTTCACAAAATGTTTACTTGACATCTACGTTTGGACCAACACGTTCAAGAACAACGTCACCCATAAATATTAAATTAAGGTCACAACAGCATAATACACTACCAGCATGTTCTTCCCCGCAACAACAGTCTTTATATCTACAGGGTCGCTCCTACACCCATGAAAAGCTAACAGACTGCGGTATTAAATCAAAACAACCGACAGCAACAGTCCCTGCCACTGCTACAACAACATCAAGTGTTACTGGCAAAAGTAAAAGAACTTCTGGTAAAAGTTCAAATATACCAATGGCATTAACAGCCACAACGTCAGCGACAACTGTTGCAAATACAAGAAAATATTTAAAACGTAGTAATTTTATATTGACTGCAGCCAAACATGTAGTAGATGATTCACGTATACTCTCGACCAGTGCTCCCCATGAGGGCTCCACATATCTAAGGTGGTTTGCTTGCCTTCATGTCTTGTTAATTTAAATTCAAAACTAATTTAAAATTCAATTATTTGTAGATAGATTTTTAAACGAGGAAAACAAAATCTGCATAGATGGTTTTTTCATCATTTTCTCTGTATTTTTCTATTTACAGTGCACATTTGCCTGCACGTGCTACTCGTCTATTGAATCGTTCTCGCATGCAGCAGCATTGTACTTTAAATAACGACGATTCGGATAGTACTAAATCTCCTTTGACGGGTCGACGTCGTACGAATACAACATCTTCACGCACCTCAACAGCATCGTCTACCAATAATAATAATAATAGCAACAGCAACAACAATTCAGCAAATTCATCGTTGCAACGTAAATTTTCACATCATCATAATCATCACCATCATCATCAGGCATCATCATCGTCTAGTTTCCATCAACGCGATACGCACAGTTCTTCGGACGATCTCATGTTGTATGACAAATCATTTAGGAATGCCATGATTCAAGATGTGTTGCAGTTCAAAAAACAATTGTTACGTTTACGTAAAATACTGCAGGAGGTAAGTTTTTTTTTTTTTGCATTATTTGCGTCTTCCTTCTTCTTGTTGTGTTCAGTCTCTTAGATTTCTGATCGATTTTCAGAAATGTATTTGTTTTAATTTATTTCTTTTTGTTTACTTTATTTTATCATCACATTTGTTGCATTCTTTTTTGTATCTCTGGCACTATTTTGTAAAAAAAAAACTACTGCCACAAACTGCACAAAAAATGCACATTACTCATACTTCTTCCACCACCACTTCCTTTCGTTTCGTTTACACATACTATTTCTGATTTATTGGAATTTTTGTTTGATTTTCTTTCGGAAGAATGAAAATTGTTTGACGAGGGTATGTTGAATTTTAATTTTATTTATTTATCTAAATATTTTTTTATTTTAATGTATTTACCAATTGTAAAAAAAAACTTTTTTATTATACATACTAATTAAAAAAACTTTTCTTATAATAAAACTATTGAACAAGTATTTAAACTTTGATTTAAGAACACAAGAATACTTTTTCGCTAAAGAATATAAATTTCTGAAAAAGCTTATCTAAAAATAAAGCTTTTTTGAGAAAGTTTTTATATGTATACTTTATTTTGAGAAAAAAGCTTTTTATTATTAAAGCTGTTAAAAAGTTTAATTTAAGATAAAGCTCTTCTTAAACACAAAAAACTCTATTTGAGAAAAATGTTTTTATGTCAATTTATTATTTCCAATTAAATAGTAATATTTAAGATAAAGCTTTTTAAGAAAGTCTTCCTATATATACTTTATTCTGAGAAAAAGCTCTTTAATATTAAAGCTTTTAAAAAGTTTAATTTCAGATAAAGCTCTTCTTAAAAAAGCATAGTTTTATATAAAAGGTTTTTACAGGAAAATTAAATCTCATTTTTTCGAAAAAGCTATTCAGCTTTTTTCAGAAAAAAAGCTTTTCATTTCAAACAGTCACAAAGCTTTTCTTATAAAGCATATTTTGAATATTTTTTATAAAAAAAAATTGTTCCTGGAAAGATATGGATAATAAAAGCTTTTTTTATATTTTAGTAAAAGCTTATATAAAAAAGCTGTTATTTTGAAAAGTTTATTTTTAACAAAAAAAAGATTTTATAGAGTTTAATTTAAGCTCTTACTTATTTATATATATATATATATATATATATATATATATATATATATATATATATATATATATATATATATAATTTTACAAAATATTTATTTAGAAAAAATCATTTCGTATTTTCAGAAAAAAGCTTCTAATTTAAAAAGTTACAAAGCTTTGGTTATAAAATAAACATTTTGAGAGAAATATTTTTTAAAAAATAGTATTTTCTACAAAAATATTTTTAGATAAAACTTTTTTTGAGTAAAAGTTTTTTTTTTATAAAAAGTTTAACGATAATTTTTAAAAACCATTTTCAATTTAAAAAGCTCTTTTGAAGATAAAAGTTCTTATAAATGTTCTCACAAAATATTATTATGTGATTAAGCTTTTATGATAAAAAAAAGCTCTTATTTAAAAATTCTTTATAAAATATATTCTGATAAAAAATCTTTTTAAAAAGCTTATTCTGAAAAAGCTTTTATAAGAAATATTTTCATGCAAACATAATCTTATTAAAAATTAGATTAAAATCTTTTTAATGAAAAGGCTTGTTATAATATTTCCCTCTGAGATAAAGCTTTATGAAAAGCTTTTATAAGAATGATATCTTATAAATAACCTTATTAAACATTGGCTAAAAAAGCTTAGTTATGATAAAGGAAATTTTAAGAAAAAGCTTTTCTTAACATCCACATACAACATACTTCTAGAGAAATATTTTTTTAATAAATTTTAACAAAATGCTATTTTAACTAAAAGCTTTACTCAATTTTTTAAAGCTGTCTTTAAAAAAAAAATATTTTGAAAAAGCTTTTAAAAAATTTTAAAATATATTAATAAAAGTTTTAAATGTTATTGATAACCTTTTTTAATGAACTTTCTTTAAATAATTTTTACGAAAAATAAACATTAGTCTTATAAAACTTTCTTAGTTTATTTGAAAAGCTTAAATTTTTGAAACTTTTTACTTTTTCAAATAATAATTTTTTTACATACTATTATTTTTTACACTTATAAGCATAGTTTTTACTAAAACACTCTTATAAAATGTAATTTATTATTTTATTAAACATTTCTATATAAATTACTAATTTCATTTATTAATAAAAAAAATTCCCCAAAGCATTAATGAATGAATTAATGAAACTTTTACTTTTTACAGACCGAAACTCTCAATCCATTCGAAAATGATAATGGACAACTATTTACATCCTGCGGTTTAGACAGCAAGCTGTTAGATGACATCGATTTGGCCAGTTTGACATCATCAACAACCGATGACCCCATACAGGAGCTGGCGGATCTACGAAGACAGGTGGTTTATCTTCAGGTATTTGCACGTTATTTGAAATTTTACTTTTGCTTCATTTTTGATTGCAATTTGTGTACAATTTATTGATTTTCTAAACAACTATTATAAATGCTAAAGTTTTTTTACAAAAACCAAAAAAAAATGAAAAAATTTATTAAAATTTAAACAAAGAAAACCCAAATAAAAGGTCAGCCTATAATAAATGAAATGAAAGAAAAAAAAAATCTAGAGAAAAAAAAGATACTAAAATAAACTTTAGTTGCAGTTCAATTTTAGTTTGTTTTTGAAAGGTAAAATTTCAAAATAATAAACGAAATATCCTGTGAACTGCCATATACTAAATCTATTTTATATACATATATAAATGTTAGTTTTGTTTAAATATTCTTACTTTCTTTGTATATCTTTTCGTTTATTTTACCTTTCATTTCTATATTTTTTTTTTTTTGTCGTCTAACTTACTCAGACAAATATTTGAACAAAAAAGATGTCACTACACAGCATGTTCAGCAAATTTCCTTCATTTTTTGTGTATTGTAATATATTCAGTTACATATTTTTTACTTTTATGAGAGATTTTATTTTATTCTGCTGAAGTTTTAGTCTGAATTTATGTTGCTTTTTAATATTTCTGTTGTCGTATGTAAAAAAAAACTTATTTACAAAATAGTTTTATCTAAGAAAATGTTTATTTTACATAATAGTATATATTTTTCTACATCTACATATAAACTTTACATTCACGTGGTGGTAGTGAAATATTAATTTTGAAATTGTTGATTTTGTTATCTATATTAGAATTTAAAGGTTTACAAGTAGTATTTCATTAAATAGCAGAACATTTAAAATTTTATAATATACATACATAGATATTGCTTATTTATTACAAGAGTGTCATAATCCAAAATTCTGTGTTTTTGAACTTAAGGATTCATTAAATATCAAATATGTCTATAAGGTGTGAGATCGATTTTAATCTTATGTTCCACGAATATTTGCTAAATAAAACTTACATTTCAATTTAGATGAGAAACATATTAAAGGGCCCTTCGTACGACGAGTCTAATGAAAAAGTAAAATGAAATTGCTCAGTATGACAAAAAAGAGATTAAAAGTCGTATGATTTATATCTTTTGTTTTTACACGATTGTTATAAAACAATTAAAAAGTAAGATGGAAACAGTTGTTTCACTTTTTTTTGTATGTGTTTACATAAAAAATACATCCCTGATCTAATGCGACTTGCTTGTTTTTTTAAATCATTTCAAAAAATGAAGACAGCCATACGACTGTCAAATTTTCCATCCGTATTTTTCTCAATGTATGATGATTTCGTTACATATTGCGTTTAGACGATCCCATCCGATCTCTTCTACACAAAATATTGACAGATCATATTACTTGTGTGCTCGTGTGAAGGGGGCTTAAACCCTACTATCTGATTCAGGTTTAATTTTTAAAATCCTTTGACTTTTTTAAAAAATAGTCAAATTTTATTAAACTTTCAAAAACATTTATCCAAAAACGACTTTTTTGGATTATGCCGGTCTTGTAGGAAATACTCAAAGCTGGTCTAGTACTTAATGTAGATGAAATATCATTTTTTACATATCTTATACATTTACATAATCCATGAATGAATTGTTTTTTTGAACATTTTTACATGTTTCGCAATCGGTCATATCAGTAATTCAAACTTCTCGAAATATGTTTTTCTAATTGACGTAATGGACGAAATTTGAATAAAAGAATGTGAACTTCTGAATTTCCCAACTCCTAATTATATCTAAGTTCCATTTATTTTGAAAATATTAAAGATGATGAGTCCAAATTGTACAATTTTGAATTTCCATACACACATTTTTTCTCGTATCTCTTTAAAAGGAATATGAGAGCTGATAATGGAAAACGAAATATATAATCGGAGTAGTTGTGTAGTATCGTTGTATGTTGTAATTCTTTTGTCATTCCGTTTGAAACACGTAGAAATATCGGTCGCATATTCTGGGGCCTTGTGAAATTCTAAGATGATAATGTCCGTCTGTCTTTAAAGGCACGGTTGAGACCAAAGGAATAGACCTATGAAGATGAAATTTTTCTAAAATATTCTACACTAAAATGTTTGGTATAAAATGGGCAATTTCGGTCCACTCTTTCACATAGGCCCCATACAATGATCCCCCCAGGAGAATCGGACACTATTTGATCCTACCTCTCATATAAAATCCCTCTCTGCCCAAAAACTATTCCGTAAAGTATGGCTGACATTGGCAACAGACCTTACCCCCCATAAAACCCCCTTAATGCTCACAACTGGCCTAACAAAACAACATAAAAACGGAAATTTTATGAGAATCGTTCACTATTTGATCCTAGCTCTCATATAAGATCCCTCTCTACCAAAAAACTATTCCGTAAAGTATGGCTGACATTGACGACTGACCTTACCCCCCATAAAACCCCTTAATGCTCACAAGTGGCCTAACAAAACAACAACAAAACCGCAATCTTTCCACTTAAGTTTATGAGAATCGGACACTATTTGATCCTATCTCTCATATGTATAAGATCCCTCTCTACCCAAAAACTATTCCGTAAAGTATGGCTGACATTGACAACTGACCTTACCCCCCATAAAACCCCCTTAATGGAATCTTCTCACTTAATTTTATGAAAATCGAACACTATTTGATCCTACCTTTCATATAAGATTCCTCTCTACCCAAAAACTATTCCCTAAAGTATGGCTTACATTGACAACTGACCTTACCCCCATAAAATCCCCTTAATGCTCACAAGTGGCCTAACAAAACAACAAAAAACCCAAAATCTTCCCACTTAATTTTATGAGAATCGGACAATATTTGATCCTACCTCTCATATAAGATCCCTCTCTCCTCCTCTAAAACTCGATATGAACAAGTTTAATGCGATCTAAAAACTACCTAATGAACTTTATAAGAATCGGTCTATAATTGTTTCTACTCCACTTATAAGCTACCCTGTCAAAAATGATTTAGCTATAAAATTCTATAGGAACAAGTTTTATAGAAACGAAAATCTTCGGTCCATAATTGACCATACCCCTCGTGTAAGGTTTCATTTAGAAAATAATTTTAACGCTCATAACTATTGAAGATACCAGTATAGCAAAAGAATTGATCCTAAACAATTTATATAGAAATTCAACTTACTCTGGGAAATTTCATACGAATCGGTCCATATTAGATCCAAAACCCCATATAAGGTCCACTTCAAATAATCACTTAAGTGCTCATAATTTGCTTTATAATCCATGTATAGGGATGAAATTTGATATAATAAACTTTTAAAGAATTCAAAAAAACTCTTCAAGATCGGTTCATAGTTAACCCTATCCCTTACAAATAACACTTCTCAATAAATCTTTTAAACATTTAAGTATTATGGTATAATTCTTCAAAAAGGTTTTTTCAAATCAATAATCTCTTTTTCAAGTTCTTTAGAGATTGGTTCATGACTCAAACCCTTCTCAAAGGTCGTATTTCGAAAATCACCCTAATATGCACAATTCTAACCGTACACGATAACGAACATATGAATTCGGCGGTCTCGACACTCCGCAGTGGTACCCTAATATGCATATTACTACCGATATAGGATAACAAAATTAAACATAGAATTCGGTGATCTCATAACCACCTCACTGTGGAACAAAATCGAAATTTTTTGAAAATAAATCTGACGCTTATAAACGTCTGGTCCGATCGGGACGACAAGTAAGATATGCATAGCCAAGGAATATTCGAGGTTAAGTAGGCATGTGACTTTTTGTTTCCCATCCGATTTCAAAGATTTTTATAAATTCAACCACATATATGTTTAAATACTACGTAACCGTATATATTGATGACTAACAGATTTAGTAAGGAGGCTTTATACATATATGACAGCTAAGATCAAATTCGGAACAATGCTTCTACAACTAAGTAGTGGGATTTAAGTTATTTTCTAATGGCGATACTGTTCAATTTCTGCCTTAATTTGCAGTATACTCCCTAATAATGTCGATTATGGTACTTTATGATTTACAAGCTGTGCATCTATTATTTTTGTGAGCATTACAAATAGCAGCAGCATAACAAACAATTCTGATTCCTTTGAAGTAGTATTGTAAGGCCGAGTTGTTATTACTTCTTCCACTTGTTATAAAATATTACATTATTTATGGATAAGATTCTTAGAGCTTCCTAGCGTAGAGGCTCTGCTTTGGTCCATGTATATAACTGAGTTGATTTTTTATACGATCAAAAATATAAACTACAATATTTGTAACAAAAATACTCCCATAAACATTGTACACTTGAAACAATTTTATTTTAAAATATTATTTCTATAAATACATATTTAAGTTCTATATAAAATATACATACATCTTTAAATACTTAGTACAACATAACGTATGAGTCATAAATTGTTTTTGCATAACATGAAATAAAACTTTAATTAACAAATTTTATTTCTTTGTTATTTTTTTTATTATTATTCTTATACGACTACTTTATATTAAACACAATTGAATGTTGTATTTTAATTATTCTATTATTTTTAATCAAATAACTCCTCTTACCTTGCATACAATTCGCTTTAATTAAAATATTAATTTAAAATTTTTCTTCTTTATTTTTTTATTGTTTTTCATTTTTTTCGTAATTTTTATTTACGCATTTTATTGTTGGCACACTCATAACGTACCACCAAACCAAACGAAACCAACCAACCATCATACAAACAGGGTCAAGTTGATGATCGTGATCGCACAATACGTTTGCAAAAAAATCTCATTGAAAAATTAGAGGCTGAAAAACTAAAAGCGCCACATGCTGCTAATGAAATTACCACAAAGGAGTGTGTAGATACAGCAACACAAACTGAAAGGGTACGTTTTTTTATATTTCTTCTATCTCCATCTTTTGTACAGTTTTAATTAATTATTTGTTTTGAGTTTAAATCTATTGTGTTTTTTCATTAATTATTTTTTAAAGTTTTTATTTAAAGAAATGTTGAAAGTTTTAATTGTTTTTTTTTTCTCTATTATTTTTTACAGACACGACCTTTAACTATTGGCACAGAAAGTTTGTCGAGGTAAGAAATCGAAATCGTTTTAGTATAAATTTGATTTATATTTTATAGTAAATCATTTATTATTTTAAAACTATTTGAATATTTTATTTAAATTGTTATAATTCTTTATAATTTATAAATAAAGTTAATATGCACTGTAAGATAAATGGATATTAGTTATTTTATTTATTAATTTTAAACACATTAAATATTTTTCTGTTAAATTTTGGATGTAACGATTTTGTAAAATATTGGTTATTTTTTTTAAGATATTTCAATTAACTTATTTCACTATAGCCTGGACTATTAACTGGACCATCGTTTGTTCTACGGTTTTGTCTATTGTTTGGACTGTAGACTCCATTATAGTTTAGAGACTATACTACAGTCTAGTCTATAGCCCAGACCATAGTCCAGACTTCTGAATAGTCTGAAGTCTGGACTGTAGTTTAGTATATAATCCATAGCATGGATTATAGTCTGGTCTATACTAGTAACTAATGTTTTTACAAAGAATGGACTATAGTCTGATTTATAATTACAATTATAGTCTGGTATATCGACTGGACTATTGTCTCTGTCGCTTTGGATATATTCCATATATCGACTTGACTATAGTCTAGTCTATATGTACTATAGACTAAAGTCGAGTCTAGTCAATATGGTCTAGTCTAAATATACTATAGGCTATAGTCTAGTTTAAACTATAGAATTTAGTCTAGTCTATACTATAGACTTTAGTCTAGTCTATACTATAGACTATAGTCTAATCTAATCTACACTATAGACTACTGTCTAGTCTATACTTTAAACTATAGTCTAGTCTATACTATAGACTATAGTCTAGTCTATTCTATAGATTATAGTAGAGTCTATAGAATATAGTCTAGTCTATACTGTAGACTATAGTCTATTCTCTACTGTAGACTATAGTCTAGTCTATACTATAGACTATAGTCTAGTCTATACTATAGACTATAGTCTAGTCTATACTATAGACTATAGTCTAGTCTATACTATAGACTATAGTCTAGTCTATACTATAGACTATAGTCTAGTCTATACTGTAGACTATAGTCTAGTCTATACTATAGACTATAGTCTAGTCTATACTATAGACTATAGTCTATACTATAGACTATAGTCTAGTCTATACTATAGACTATAGTCTAGTCTATAATATAGACTATAGTCTAGTCTATACTATAGACTATAGTCTAGTCTATACTATAGACTATAGTCTAGTCTACAATATAGACTATAGTCTAGTCTACAATATAGACTATAGTCTAGTGTACACTATAGACTATAGTCTAGTCTACAATATAGACTATAGTCTAGTGTACACTATAGACTATAGTCTAGTCTATACTATAGACTATAGTCTAGTCTATACTATAGACTATAGTCTGGTCTATACTATAGACTATAGTCTAGTCTATACTTCTAGTCTATACTATAGACTATAGTCTAGTCTATACTATAGACTATAGTCTAGTCTATACTATAGACTATAGTCTAGTCTATACTATAGATTATAGTCTAGTCTATACTATAGACTATAGTCTAGTCTATACTATAGACTATAGTCTAGTCTATACTATAGACTATAGTCTAGTCTATACTATAGACTATAGTCTAGTCTATACTATAGACTATAGTCTAGTCTATACTATAGACTATAGTCTAGTCTATACTATAGACTATAGTCTATACTATAGACTATAGTCTAGTCTATACTATAGACTATAGTCTATACTATAGACTATAGTCTAGTCTATACTATAGACTATAGTCTATACTATAGACTATAGTCTAGTCTATACTATAGACTTAGTTTAGTCTATACTATAGACAATAGTCTAGTCTATACTATAGACTATACTATAGTCTATACTATAGACTATAGTCTATACTATAGACTATGGTCTAGTCTATACTATAGACTATGGTCTAGTCTATACTATAGACTATGGTATAGTCTATACTATAGACTATGGTCTAGTCTATACTGTAGACTATAGTCTAGTCTATGCTATAGACTATAGTCCAGTCTATACTATAGACCATAGTCCAGTCTATACTATAGACTATAGTCTAGTCTATACTATAGTCTAGTCTATACTATAGACTATAGTCTAGTCTATACTATAGACTATAGTCTAGTCTATACTATAAACTATAGTCTAGTCTATACTATAGACTATAGTCTAGTCTATACTATAGACTATAGTCCAGTCTATACTATAGACTATAGTCCAGTCTATACTATAGACTATAGTCTAGTCTATACTATAGACTATAGTCTAGTCTATAGACTATAGTCCAGTCTATACTATAGACCATAATCTAGTCTATACTATAGAGTATAGTCTAGTCTATACTATAGACTATAGTCTAGTCTATACTATAGACTATAGTCTAGTCTATACTATAGACTATAGTCTAGTCTATACTATAGACTATAGTCTAGTCTGTACTATAGAATATAGTCTAGTCTGTACTATAGACTATAGTCTAGTCTATACTATGGACTATAGACTATCGTCTAGTCTATACTATAGACTATAGTCTAGTCTATACTATAGACTATAGTCTAGTCTATACTATAGACTATAGTCTAGTCTATACTATATACTATATTCTAGTCTATACTATAAACTATATTCTAGTCTATACTATAGACTATATTCTAGTCTATACTGTAGACTAGTCTATACTATAGACTATAGTCTAGTCTGTACTATAGACTATATTCTGGTCTGTACTATATTCTAGTCTATAATATAGACTTTAGTCTGACTAGACTATAGTCTAGTCTATACTATAGACTATAGTCTAGTCTACACTAAAGACTATAGTCTAGTCTATACTATAGACTATAGTCTAGTCTTTACTATAGACTATAGTGTAGTCTATACTATAGACTATAGTCTAGTCTATACTAGAGACTATAGTCTAATCTATACTATAGACTTTAGTCTAGTCTCTACTATAGATTTTAGTCTAGCATAAACAATAGACTATAGTCTGGTCTACACTATAGACTATAATCTAGTCTATAGTATAGATTATAGTGTAGTAAGTAGTCTGATCTATAGTATGGAGTAATTTCTGGTCTATAGTATGGACTATTGCCTGATCTATAAATTGCAGTATAGTCTGGACTAAATTTAGTACAGTAACGTTAGGACAATTACTTGTGCTACAGTTTTGAATATAGTGTAGTATACTGTACGGACTATTGTATGCTCCATCGATAGGACTACACTTTACAATATCGCTGGGACTATTGTCTATTTTATAGCATTGGCTATAGCTAAAATCTAGACTATCTATCTACCCTATGATCTATTGGACCATAACCTGTTATATATCTAGTCTTGACTATTTTTGATATATAGTCTGGACTATAGAGTTTTAGGTCTACAGGCAGTGTCATTATCCATTTTTTTTATCAGAACAATCGAGGTAGTCAGTCATGCCTGATTAAAAAATCAAAATTTTTCCATAAAAACCAATTTTCAAATTTCAGAGTTAAAGTGTGAGGATTTAGTATATTGCGGTCTGAATAATCTAGAATTTTATTAACTTCTGTTATATGAAATATATGCTAATGGTTTAATCTCTTCAAAATATTTAACTATTTCAAAATATCTTCTATTCCCCCCTACAAATGAATGCTTAAACGTTCTGCTCTTTAAATCTCACTAATTGTATGTGTTTTTCCTTAACAATCTTAACGGTTTGTTGAATTTTTCATAACTTCTTTTTTCCCAAAAATGCATGTTTTAAACTCTTTACATTTGCATACCTGTTACTATTGGCAAAAAGTAGAAAACAACTATGAAAAACATAATACCTGCAGTGATTGCATGTTTAAAATGAATTAAATTTGGCTTGATCAAAAAAAAAAAATACAAAACAAGAAAACTTTCGCAAATAATCAAATAATTTTCTTATACAACAATAAATTTAGGTTAAATTTTATTTTTTTTTAACATTTCTTTTTGTAATTGTGAGTTTTTATTTTTTCTTAAACAACAACAACAAGTAAATTTGAATATAAATTTAATAAATTTAATCCTATACTTTCATGCTAACACTTTACAAAATGGTAATGGTATGGTTTGCTATTAATTAATCCTCAATATTTTATAATATTTTGAACTATAGACTACAACAATATGGAGAACCCAAGGTATTATACTGTGATTTTTTCTTGGCTGTTATATTATTAAGCGCAATTAACATTATTTGTATTTTACATTTAAGTTATAATACATGTGTTAAAAATTGTTCTTCATGATTTTCAATACTTCAAATGAAATACATTTTTAGCTTTAAGTTTTATGTGTAATTAAGTATTTAAAAAAAAACAGGGATTGATTTGAAATTTGATAATTTATAAAAACTAATGTCCTAATATATAAAATTGTAGTTTGTATTCAAGAAATTAATTTTGAATGTTTAGAAACTTTATAAAAGTAGTTATGTGTTAGTGTTAAGAAATAATTATAAACAGATTTTAAATAGGAATGTTAGCCCTTAGTTATAGAAATATGTAGATGGTTGCCATTTGTGGTTTTAAATAAAGTTCTAAGGTATATGTATCTCCAAGTAGTCGGAAGCACACTAGTCCGTTAAATCTATGTGTTCCTGTTGTTGAACGTATTGCCATCGTACTTAAGCTTTCTTGGGACTAAGCTCGTTGTAGTGTAAACATTTATAAGGAAATTAATTGTAACTTTATTCAGGGAGTATATTTGAATATCTCAAGGTGCTCATCTGGTCTAGAAACAATCACAAAGTCTATTCTATAATCTGGTGTATTGTCTAATCTATGTCTAATCTAAACTAGACTATTGTCTAGTATACTATAGAATAGTTTATAATCCAAACTATAGTCTAGTTATAGTTAAGTGTACAGTCTAGGCTTGACCTTATGGTCCAAACTATTGACAAAACTATAATGCAGACTTAAGATTTGTCTATAGTCTGGACTATAGTGTAGTATATAGTTTGGATTATAGTCTAGTATATAATCTAGACTATGGACTAAACTAAGTCTAGACTATAGGCTAAATTATAGTCTACACCATAACTAAACTATAGTCCCGAATATAGACTAGACTACAGTCCAGATTATATACTAAGCTAAGGCCTGGTCTATAGTTTAGTCTCAGAGTATATACTAGTTTATAGCATAAACTAGAGACTAGACTATCCTCCACTCTAGTCTATAAACTATAGTTTAGTATGCAGTCTATAATCTGGAGTATTGTCTAATCTATGCTTAGGATTTTAGTCCGATTAGAAACTAGACTATTGTCCATACTATAGACTAGTTTATAATCCAAACTATAGTCTAGTTATAGTCAAGTATACAGCCTAGGCTAGACTATAGACAATACTATAATTCAGAATTAAGATTAGCCTATATATAGTGTAGTATATAGAGTGGATTATAGTCTAGTGTATAGTCTGGACTATGGACTAAACTAAGTCTTGTCTATAGACTAAATTATAGTCTAGATCATAACTAAACTATAGTCCCGAATATAGACTAGACTATAGTCCAGATTGTACAATAAGCTTAGACCTGGACTATAGTTTAGTCTCAGGCTATATACTAGTTTATAGTATAAACTAGAGACTAGACTATCGTCCACTCTAGTCTATAAAGTATACTATAGTTTAGTCTACAGCCTAGCATATAGTATAGTTCATGGTCCAGCCTATAGTATAGTCTATGGTCTAGACTACAGTCTACTTTATGGTCTAGACTACAGCTTAGTATGAGCATAGACTATAGTTTAGTCTATGATCTACACTATAATCCAGACTATATACAAGACCCAAGTCCAGACTATATACTAATGTATAGTCTAGCTTAGTTTAGTCTATAGTCTGAACTACATTATCGTATATAGTCCATGCAAACCTATAGTATAGTCTACATTGGGTCGGTACTATAGTCTAGTCCGGAGTATAGACTTGTATATAGTCTGAAATATAGTACAGAATAGTTTGAACTATAGCTTAGACCATAATTAAGTTTTTATAATGGACTAATATTCAATTAGAAATTAAAGAAAATATTCAAATAAAATTACTAACAAATCAATCTCTGTTGGCTCAAAAACTAACAATTAAGTGTCCACTAAATGTGATTTCACTACTTTATGTTATATGTTTACAAATAAGATTTTTTTAAATATATACAAATATTTTGATTGCATGCTGCAAAATCAAATAGAAATTTGAGGTAAATTTTTTAATAATAAAATTACTAATAACATTATAATTAAGAAGTGTATGTATTTAACTAAAAAACATCTAAAAAACAAGCATGCAATAAAATACAGCTTTTTCTAAATTTAAAATATTATTTTTCATAAATCGAAAAAAAATCTTAAACATAAAAACAAAACAATATTAGTAACAAATTTATATACCATTTTCTGTTTTTTTTTTTGTTTCATTTTAATTTCCAATTAGAAGTAAACCAGAATACACCAGTTATACCACATATTTCCCAGCAATATGCAGTGATTCCACAACCATAATTCAACATCATCAACAAAATCCCGCTGGTTGTTTGGCGAATAATCAAACTAGACGTCATACTATTATTTCTACTACACTAACAAATTATAATCAACAATTATCAACGCCACGTCAAACACCACGCAGAGCATCAATTGCCTGGGAAAAGCAGACTCCATCATATAAGCCCGTTAAAATAACACTCATTGGTGACCCCCTGAAACATTGGCAGAGTGAGGGTAATTCGTTAAATAAAAATAAAGATGAAGAATTTAGTAAAAATTTTATTAATACAAATTTAAATAATAATAATAATATTAATAATAAACAACCAACACTAATGCAACAAGAGAATACCCATAATAATATAATATTAAATTCAAAACATCATCATCGTCTGCAGGACATAATGGTGGCAAATGAAATAAAAACAAAAAATCATCATCAGCAACAGCATCAACGTAGTAATAATCAACAACAGCAACAACAACAACATCATCTTCATAATAATAATCATCATCAACATCATCATATTCAACCAAATATTCAGCAGCATCAACAGTCGTCGCATCAATTTTATAAAACAACATCACATCAACACAATAATTTAAAACCAACAGTTACTATAGTTTAACAACAACAAAAAACTAACATACATATATATTTCTATATAATTTTTAGTGATCAAGAAAAATATAGTTACATTTTTTAAACAAATCATTAAGTTTTCAACGAAAGTCGTTAAATTGTGTGTTTGAAAGGGACATGTAACTACCTAGACTACTTAGGTAGTTACATGTACATACATATGAAGAGTTTCATAGTTAAAAAATTTACTAATGTTCATGGCACTCTCTGTCCCTGTAGGGACTTTTAAAAATTTGAAAATTCTTAAGTATTTCTTTCTTTGGCAAAAATTAACAGATTCTACTCTGGATCTGGAAATGTAAATTTCTTTTCATTACAAAAGACCCAAAACTAAGTCGTATTGCTAAGTGACCCTCTATTCTAATGCAGCTATTAAAGATATCGACATATGGGTCGTTGATCCACAAGATTATATATATTTTGGGTCCTTATCAGATTTTCAGCCTATCTAATCATTTTTGTACTCTTATCTGTCCGTCCGTTTGTGACATTTAACTTCTCGACGTCTTAAAATCTTCTCAACTACTAGACCACATGATTCATGTTAGTTCCATTTAAGGTAATATTTCCCCGGACTAAGTCATTCAGATGTCTTATCAAAGTTCATAATTTATGCAGATTTATGGGACTTGGCAGAGAAACGTTTAATGAAACCTAAAGATCAATTTACATGCTTAATTAATCCTATTTATACCGTACACCACTATAGTGGGGAGGGTATTATGCATTTGTGTTAACTTTTGTAACACCTTAATGTATATAAATCGGCTCAGAATCACTTTCTGAATCGATTAAGCTTTGTCCGTCACTCCGTCCGTCTGTCTGTGTGTTCATGTAAAGATTGTGCGCACGCTACAGGTCGCAATTTTCAAGATAATTTGATGAAATTTTGCAGATAATCTTTCTTCGATCCAAGGACGAAACCTATTGAAAATGCTTAAAAGCGGTTTATTATTTCGGCTAGCCTCCATACATACCCTCCGAATAGGGCCTGTTTTTATATAGGGCTTATAATTAGCTAAAATGTTGTAATAACTCTACAAAAATCGACAAATTTAGTTTTATATAGGTCTAAATTATACTGCCGATTTTTATAATGATCGGGTCTCAATACACCTTCAGAAAATGACTTCTAGATCAATCCACTTGTAAACACTAGTATTATTATAAAATTCTACATAAATAAATTTAATGGAAATGTAAATCCCTCTACTAAAATTTATAAGCATAGGCTCATATTGCCCCTATCATGAAATATTTCGGAGGTAAAAAACAACTTAAATGATTGTTTATTAGAAAAATTCCACATTTTTAACATACGTACTGGTGTAGGGTATCATAAGGTGGGCCATGACCGACTACACATTCGTAGATGTTTTTATTTTGAGGTTCAGTCATTAAATATTTGTCTGTAGTTTAATCAAAGTGTGGTATTTTTACCTGTCTGGTAGAAGTCGAGGGTTCGATTCTCAATTGAATCTTTACTTTGTTTCTTTGCAAGCAGTAAAAAAGAACATCCAAAGAAGCGGAAAAGAAGTAGAATTTACTCTATGGAAGTAATGAAAAAGACCTGCAAAAGTAATGGTTTTAACACAGGCTTGTTGTAGGATGGATGTCCTTATTATTTGATTCCAAATTTATTCTCAAGAAGTAATTTTTATGTTCTTTTTTGGAAGTTATTTGGGAGTAAAATTGTTGATTTATAGAAGACAACTAATTTGACTTAAATAATATGGGAAATAAGGTTTCTTCGGAAGTCATTAAACTTCACTTCCACAAAAGGTGAAAAAATTCACTTAGTGCTACTTTTGATGTGGTGATAAATGTTATTATTTTGGAAGTGCTTCGTTTTATTTTTGTTGGGACGGTTACCGGTTCACTTTTTCCTCTTCTGAATTTTCGTTTTAACTTGAATCTCTTCATATATTTATGTATATGCAAAAAATAATTATCGCAATTTAACCCAACTAAAATCCATAGTTTATTTGTTAAACAAATATTCTGAAAACCTGAACTTATTGTTATTATACTCTCTCCAAATCTCTTTGTTTGTTTTTCTTATTATTACTTAACGCACATTTTAATATAATTAATATTTTATCAAACTATAAAAAAAATTAACAATTAACATAAAAACAATAACAACACAAAACCTGTTATATAAATAATACAATTTACAAAAGAAATTTAAGCCTTTTTAAATAAAAAAAAATAAAATCCCCAGCCAATTGCAACAAATTTCGCCTTTTTCATACAAAATATTATAAAAAACTCATTAGATGCAATAAATAGTACGAATACATTCACAAACAACAAAGAGAATAAAACATAAAATATTTAAATAATAATGAAAAATAAGTATTATTAATTCATATTATTATTATTACTAATACAAACAGTATATTTACAACGTATGTATGTAATATTTTATAAAAAACAAAAAAAAAAAAACATAATCCCCCATTTAATCAAGTAACAAGAAAAAATCAAAAAACATTAAACAATTAATGTCCAATTAAAACCCCAAATACATAAATGTTAAAACATTTAGTCCTTCTTCTATATTTTTAAATTTGGTAAAAATTGTTCTCATTTCCTTTTTAAGTTTTAGCCGTAACACAACAACTATTAGCAAGATCTTATTTATCTAAGTATTACTTACAAATTATTAGTTTATATTGATTAAATTTTAAGTTTTATTATCTTATTTAAAATTTGTTGTTAGTTAGCAATTAATAATTGCACCTATGTATACTTTAAACATATTTAAATATTTTATTATAAATATACTCACTGATTTGTAATTTTTAAAAATATTTATTTGAAATTATTCGTTTTGTTTAAATTACGTTTAAGTGAAAATTAAGCATTCAAATTAATGTAATTTTAATTGCATCCAAACAAGCTAAGCTAATAATGTAGCATCTATCAATATTATTTTTTGGATTATTTTCAAAATATAACTTTTTGAAATATATACAAAACAAATATATATATAAAACAAATAATATATATAATCATGAATTGTTGTTTTATTTACATACATATCTACAGTAGAATTTAAAATTTCAGTCAATTTAAATAAATTTTCGGTTGGTAACCATATATGGACTTGGGTCAATCCTCTTAGAAATTAATACAACATTTTATATTCTGCAATTTACCAATTCAAATTGGTTTTTCACTGATCGCGAACAGTCATGTAGAGCCGACTTCGTTTTTGACAGAGTAGTCCTGGCACTCGTCAGGTGTAGTATTGTGTAGTATTATATCCAGCCTGTAGCCGTAAGAAATCTTAGGAGGTCATTATGTTTTAATCCAGATATGTATATCACCAAGGTTTGATATGAAGAAATTGTCAAGAAAACTGTTTCTCTGTCTTTGCAACTGCGACAGTATTCATTGAAGGGGAGCCGACTTTCATGTCTGCCTAACACCCAGTGTCCAGTTATTATTGCGATCAACCTGGAAGAAAGAACCTGAGAATGCTGCTTTTGATAAAACATAACGGAGTTGCTACTAAAACACCGTTCGAGATATCCAGAGAAGAATGACGAAGTGCTTTATGTGAACACCTGCCGTATAAGCCTAATTTCACCGTGGTCTTTTTCATTGAAGGGGAGCCGCCTTTCATGTCGGCTTAGCACCCAGTGTACAGTTATTATTGCGATCAACCTAGAAGAAGGAACCTGAGAATGCTGCTTTTGATAAAACATAACGGAGTTGCTACTAAAACGGCGTTCGAGATATCCAGAGAAGAATGTCGAAGTGTTTTATGTGAACACCTGCCGTATTTCACGGTGGTCTTTTTCACTCACAGGGTGAACTTTTGTGACGACTCACCAACGCCCCTTTGTGTATCTTACACGAGAGTGGCAATTTTTATACATGGTTCTACCGGCCTCTGTTGAGTCGGCAACAGCACCTAGTGACGTATTCTGTAGTTCTTACTAACAGAGGAAAATTCAATGGTTTCCTTTGTATCATCATTCAACCCAGCACACTTCTCAATCATCCGACACACTCATAAAAAACACCATCCGACACGCCCACTCTAGGTAAACAGGCGGGTTCATATACATACATTTAACACCAACTCATTTTCAACGCATAGTCCCACAGTCACTGCTCTGTGGGGTATCTGTAGACTTCGCCAACAGCACCGAACTATAGATTTCACCCTGCATCAGTCCTTTAACCGACATTCTCTTCCCGAGGATTTGGGTTCAGCCACTACGTGGATATCGAAGGAACAACTGACTGAAATGAAGGAAAGGCTGAGGATACATTTGATCATCAGTTTATAGTCCTGGCAGACTATTGGTAGCACCTCTTTTCCCCGGGATTGCAATAACACCATGATGGTGTCTTTCAACAAGGTAACATACCCCCGGGGGAATATCCAGAGAAGATGCAACTCTGACTAGCTAATCTGCCTGTACATTTCTATTGTAATCCCTATGCGCAGGGACCCAAACAAGTGTAATGTCATACAGGCGACCCAGTCTTGAGAAATCCTTCTTGTATTGTCTGACTAATAGAGAAGTGCTAGTGTAAGAGTTTAGTGAAAGAAGTGTCGCTTGGCTTTCGACAAAAATGCCTATGTTGTAGAGAATATTGAGGTCATATAGTATCCTACAGGCTGACATAATCGTAAATATTTCAGCCTGAAAGACATTAAAGTTGTTGGGAAAACGGTACTTATACCAGCTTCTTCACAGAAGATACCAGAACTAATACCACAGTTTATTTTAGAACCATTTGCAAAGATCCTACTAAAGATCCCCCACACAACGAGTAGCTGAAACTCTGACTTTTTACTGGGCTGCAGATAAATATTATCATTATTTGAAGATCTATAAATAGGATGTGCAATATAGTGATCAGAGATTCTGAAGGTCTAGTTCTTAGAGCACTTGCTATTCCAATACATGCTGATCTTTAAACTTTGTATAATTGGTCTAGAACAAATTTTTTTTAGATGAAGTTCCCATTCAAGAGATCCGTATATAAGAATAGGACCTACACCACTCGTTCCTGGAACTCTAACTTTGAAAACTCTGTCCGTACGTTGGGTAATATAGTCAGATGGTAGGCTCAAGATCTTAGAATATCCATATGTTCTTGATCTTCAACTTCCGGATGAGCTAAACCTTACTGCGCTGCAGACAAATATGGTCATTATATAAAGATCTATAAATAGAATGTGCATTATAGCGTTCAGAGCTTCTGAAGGTCTAGTTCTAAGAGCACGTGTTATTCCAATGTGTGCTGATCTTTGAACATTATATAATTGGTCTACAACAAATGTCTTCTTGGTTGAAGTTTACATACAAGAGATCCGTATGTAAGAATAGGACGTTGTATACATCCATTTTACTATGTTGGAACTAAGACCCCAATTCATCCCAAACATTTTATGACAGGTATATTAGGTAACCCTTGCTTTCTTGTCTCTGTGATGGATGATAAGTTTCCATCTCATTTCATATAAATATGTAGGATTATTTTTAGATATTTAGCATTGTTTGATAAATGAATTTCGCAGTTCAACTGCGGCAGGTTGAAGATTGGAATCTAGGACTTTGTTGTGAATAATACCAGTTCTGTCTTGCTTGGATCGCGCAGTGTGTAACATGCAAGTTGCATATTACAGCACAAAATGTTTTGAAAGTTTGTACTTTTAGCTTTACTTTTAAGTTTTATTATTCATTTCTCATATCATACCAAAATGTGAATTCTCAAATTCATCATCAAATTAAAGGGGAATCCCAAAAACACAACCAAAAAAATTTCGTGATTTTGTGATCACAAGCCACAACTGTTTACCAATATTGTTGAACTTGGCATTCAACTTAGATGATAACCTGATAATGCAAAGACAGCTTTAATACTACGGAAATGTCTCAGAACTTTGAGAAAGCTATTAATAAGTGATTATTGAAAAACGTCTTCTCTTATCTGATTATTGGCGTTTATTTTGCAAGTGAGTACATTTTTAACAAATTTTAAATATAATAATTCAGAGTACTCATATTAATTAGAGAGTTCCTCACACTACTCTTTAAGCACAGCTAATCAGGTATGTTAAAGGTGACAAAACAAAGATAGTTGGTCACATTAAGCCAAAATTAACAAGATGACTATATTGGATTTAATCAGAATTCTGTTTTATTGAGCATTTTTTCTTTCTCTTGCCTAAACTTAAGAGAAACTATATTTACTAAAATTGTTCATTTATTAAAAGCACTTGATACTTCAGACTTTAGTCTCATCTTAAACACCAACTCAGTCGGTTCGGTATCAATTTTTATTGCCATTAAATGTTCTGCATGCACAATTCATATTAAAATGATTTTAATATTGACATTGGTCGTAGTATGTTTGGCAAGTGGTATCGTAAATTCTATACCACAATGTTCAGTGAATATAGTGAATAAAGAAGAATTTATATGTAGGAATGTGCAGTATATGAAAGATTTACGGGGAATGGGACAAAGTGATTGGAAACACCTGAAAATTATAAATGATAACGAAACGCAATTCGAATGGGATGGTAAGGTGAACCCAACAAAAATGCTTTGCAAATAGTATACACATAATTTTCTTTTATATTTAGTTATTCCTGATGAATTTATAAATCTGGAACATTTGGATATTTCTCAAGCTGGTGCTTTAAATTTACCACAAACCGGATTTGATAAGTTGTTAAATTTAAAAGCCTTAAATATATCACATTGTCAATTGGAATCTTTAGAGGATACACAGTTTCCTGATAACAATAGATTAGAAAATCTTGATATTAGTTGGAATTTTTTGGAAACAATAAATAAGCAATTGCAAAAGAAATTGCAGAAATTAGAAATTGCCAACTTTTCTCACAATCAAATTCAGTTAATGGAAACTGATGACCTAAATACAAAATTAAGAATTCTTCATTTGGACTTCAATGAGCTAAAGAGTATTATTCTAAATAACTATGAGAAATTGGAAATATTAACAATTAGTGACAATTTAATTGAAAGGGTAAGTATACATAAGTTTAAGTATTAAATATTTCAATAGGAGAGCTTCATATTTCTATAAGAAGAAATCCTCCTTTTCATAGAAAAACTGTTCTTTATTTTCTAGAACAAAATTTCTTATTATTTTTTGGAATATTTCATCCATTTTTAACAGAAAAACCTTCTTCCTTTCTAAAGTCTTTTCTTCTTTTCCATAGAAATGTTTCTTTCTTTCTAATGAAAAGTCTCTTCCTTTTCTGAAGAAAAGTCTTCTTCTTTTCTAAAGAAAAGTCTTCTCCTTTTCTTTAGAAAAGTCACTTCCTTTTCCATAGAAAAGTTTCTTCCTTTTCCAAAGGAAAGTCTCTTCATTTTTTAAAGTAAAGTCTCTTCCCTTTCTTTAGAAAAGTGTCTCCCTTTTCTATAAAAAAGTCTCTCCCTTTTCTATAGAAAAGTCTCTCCCTTTTCTATAGAAAAGTCTCTCCCTTTTCTATAGAAAAGTCTCTCCCTTTTCTACAGAAAAGTCTCTTCCTTTTCCATAGAAAAGTCTCTTCCTTTTCCATAGAAAAGTTTCTTCCTTTTCCAAAGAAAAGTTTCTTCCTTTTCCAAAGGAAAGTCTCTTCATTTTTTAAAGAAAGTCTCTTCCTTTTCTAAAGTAAAGTCTCTTCCCTTTCTTTAGAAAAGTGTCTCCCTTTTCTATAAAAAAGTCTCTCCCTTTTCTATAGAAAAGTCTCTCCCTTTTCTATAAAAAAGTCTCTTAGTTTTCTACAAGAAAGTTTTTTCCTTTTCTATATGAAAGACTCTCCCTTTTTTATAGGAAAGAGTTTCCCTTTTCTATAGGAAAGTATGTTGCTTTTCTATTAAAAAGTGTTTTCCTTTTCTACACAAAATTTTATTCTATAAAAGTTTCTTCCTTTTCTATATGTTAGTTAGTTAGTTAGTTTGAAAGGAGGATGTATATACATCAAATCCGAAGAAATACACCTAGGCCTCTATCGGGCCTGTTGTGCGCTCCTTAACCAGTGCCTTAGGTGGGAATCGAACCCACCACCTCCGGTCTACCAGACTAGAACACTAACCACTAACCTACCGGAGGCCACTCCTTTTCTATATAATATTTTGATTTTTTCTACAGAAAAGTTACTTTTTCCTATAGAAAATTTTCTTTTTTTTCAAAAGAAAAATGTCTCGCTTTTTATAGAACAGTTTCGTCTTTTTCGAGGAAAGTTTATTTTCTATAGAAAGTCTCTTTATATTCTATGGAAAAGTTTTTTCATATTCTATGGAGAATCGTCTTTTTTTCAATTAACTACATTTCTCTTCTATAGAAAGTGTTTTTCTTTTTCTTCTGTAGAAAAGCTTATTTATTTTCACGGAAAAAGAGAGTATGTCCTTTAGTAACAAAAAGAGAGGCTTCAAAGTTGAAACAATTTGTGATGTATTTGATTAATAACCGAACAGAGCCCCTTACAAGGTCCACCACCGACTATAATCTCCAGCTTGTTATATTTTTGTTTATTAATAAGTTCAATTTGGAATCAATAATCTTATTTTATCTTTTTTTTTAATTTTCAGTTGACTTCAAACTCCTTCAAACAGCTAAAATCCATGGACGAACTAATCATAACCTCCAATTCCATCAAACACATTGATGATCGTACATTTGAAAGTATGACGGAATTGAAAAATTTAAATCTCTCTGCCAATAGTTTGGAAAAATTATCACCTGAAATATTTACTGGTCTCAATCGCTTAATACAATTAGATTTGAATTCAAATGATCTTCAAGAATTGCAGCCTTTACAGTTTCAACATTTGGTCAAGTTACAATATTTAGATCTAAGTCGCAATGCCTTAAAATCCCTGGACTCAAATAACTTTAATAACCTGGTAAATTTGCGCAAATTGTATCTTTATGAAAATGATATGGAAGAAATTAAAGCCAATACTTTTGCTAATTTAGTAGCATTAGATACTTTGGATTTATCATATAATTCAATAGAACATATAGATTCAGCAGCCTTTGGTTCCCATACGTTACCTCGTCTACGTAAACTTCTACTCAAATCTAATAGCTTGAAAACTTTACAACCATTAACATTTGCCTCTTTACCCTTTCTGCAATATCTTTCATTGGGTCTCAATCAGTTGTCTACTTTAGATGTGCGCATGTTTGCTCCCATGAGACGTTTGGAAAAACTACATTTGGGTAATAATCTTTTAGAGACTATACCTTCTGATGTTTTGGAATCTCTAACGGATGTTACTGAATTACTGTTGGATAAAAATCGCTTATCATTTCTATCCGATTCAAAAGCAACATTTTCAAAACTAGAAAAAGTTTCTTTAGAGGGAAATCCCTGGCAATGTCCATGTTGGGAAGAAATGACTCAGTGGCTAGATGCTCGCCACGTATCATACATTCGATCACATAGTCCATATTTTAAAGGCCAAAAACCCTTATGTGTGGTAACTCCAGTTGATTTTTGTGTAAAGGATTTGCGTTTAGTAAAAGAACATAAAATTGAAGAAATATATAATAGTGGTTAAAAAAATATGAATTAAGATTTTGAAAATTGTTTGTAGTTTTAAGATTTTTATATAAAATAAATGGAGAATTATTTTATATCTTTATATATTAAAGAAGTTTTAAGATATTTTTATAATAAAATATATATAATACATATATGTAAGTTATAAAGTTGTCTATAAAATGTTCTATATACATAATTACATACATATATAAAATATTTTGTCGGTGGGCTAGTAATATCAATATGGGAACATTTCTAGATCTATACCTTCTTTCGTTTAGGTGCATTCTTTCAACGATCAAATACTATATTCTGTCGATGTGTTTCACACGGAATAAGAAAATCCATATAACCCAATCTTTTTTGATGGTGTGTATTAAAAATTCTAATTTAACGGTCGTTGATGTTGGCAATGCTTCTCAATTATAAACTTAGCACAGTCACAAACCATCTAATCAATAAACAAGTTTCTTGTATAACAGTTTTGACATACATGTTGCATATAAAAAAAAGTGTTACCAGTTGTAATTATTATTCCGAAAAATAAAATTTAATTCCTTATAAATCAGAAATATCGTGACTTGCCCAGGAAAAACTTACATTTAAAAGTAATGAGTAAAAAGGCTGATAAAACCACTTTTCACTATTTACTCATTGCAATTTTATATAATTATTTCAACACAGCGGTGATTTTACTACGCTCGCTTACAAAGAAGGACTTCATTACAAAAAAGTACTTAAAAAGTTGTTTGGTTTTAGGCGAAGAAAAATTATATTGCCGACACAGGATACAAATTCGGGCATCATGCGACATAGTCCGCTGTCTTACTCAGAGCATCACTGGGTGTACTTACCCAGCTACTAACTTTTCAATGACTACTACATACCGTTTGCATTACTTTTAGTAAGTAATGACTTACAAATAACTCTATATGTACTTACTTCTATAACCACCATTGATTTCGTCACAGACCCACAAAAGTATATATTTTCTATTTCCTTATTAAATTCTAAGACGATCTAGCCATGTCTGTCCGTCTGTCTGTTGAAAACATGTTAGAGTATGAACGGAAAGTTCTGAAGGGTTGAAAATTTCCATAAATATTCTCTATGGGTAAGGTTTGTTTGGCATTGAAAATGGGCAATGTCGGTCAACGTTTTCGCATAGTTCCCATACAAGTGGTCTCCCGAAAAAACAGTTTTAGCGATGAAATTCGACATAGACAAGCTTTATATGAATCAAAATCTCTCTATTATTTTATGAGGATTGAACCCATATCAGGACCTCTTTAGAAAATGGCTTTAACGCTCATTACTATACTCTATACTAAATTTTATGAGGATCGATCCATAATTGCCGATTTATTCGTTCTTCTAAAAAAACGTTATCAATAATGTTAATTATTCTCGGCTATAAACGGAATTCATAGTTTATTCTGGGTCTATATTAGGTTCTACAACAATGTAGCCATGTTGTGCGGATGTCCGTCTGTCTGTTGAAAACCCGATGGGGTCCGAATGAGAGATGCTAGAGGGTTTTTATTTATAAATACAAATTACAAACAAGTAGGAAAGTATAGTCGGGCATGGCCCGATACCTACTACAGATAATTTATTTTTCATAAAGAAACTTTTACATATGTTGAGTTTTACCTTAATTCCGATCTTAGGGTTAAATATGGGCCGATCCTTAACAAATTGGGAGGAGGGATGTATTTTTATATAAAGGGGAGTTGTGCTGAATTTCATCGCTATACTAATGGTATAAACCCCAAATCGGAAGGTTATATGGGGACTAGATGAAATAATGGACCGATAACAACGATTTTCAGTACGCTTCGTCTTTGTGCCGAAATATATGGTCCAAATTTTATGATATCTTGAAAATTGTGACCTGTAGCTTGCGCACAAGGTTTACATGAACAGCCAGCCGGACAGACGGTCGGACGGACGGACATGTCTTAATCGACCCAAAAAGTTATTCTGAGTCGATCGGTATACTTTAAGGTGGGTGTAGGACCAATACTTTTGTGCGTTACAAACTTCAGCACAAACGGGAGGGTATCTCCCCAATATACAGGTGTAGGGTATAACAATTAATACAAATTCGTTGGCCATCTTTAAGGATGTTTATGTTTTGAGGTTTTGTCACTAACTAGATTTTAGTTTTAGAGCTTTTTACTTTTTTTTTTTTTTTTGCATATTTTTTTTTATTAATTACCAAGTTAAATATTTCAACAATGCTAAATGAAATGTGAAAATACCAAAATATTTTCAAAGTGTTAATATTTCTGTAAATTAAAAATACAATTTTTTAAAACTAATTACATAATTTTATTAATCACTTTAATAACTTACATGATTTAATTTGCAAAATATTTCCCAGAATTGCAACCGCTACAAAATATTCCTAGAAAAAGGACAAATATTTTATTTAAATCTTAATCCCAAATATAAATAAAGTAAACTTTAACAGTTGACATTTATTTGCGGATATTGTTGATGTCATACTGAAGGCAATAAAATTTTAACTTTTCTTCTTGTCATCTTCGTCGTTTTTCTTAAAAGAAATCTTCTAACGTATAGCGAAATAAACTTGTAAACAAGACATTAATTTGATTTATGGTAAATTGAAATTAGACACTTTGTCATAATTAAAATTTCAAAAAGGGAAACTTTAAAAGTGTACAAAATTTTCTTCATTTCATATTTTATTTTTGGTTTTCCAATAATTAAATGAGAAAGGGATAAGTTTAGTCATTCTTGTATAATTATGTTTTCATTTTCTATTGACACACTAAACTTTTATACAACTCATTTAAACCTTTAGTAACAACTTTCTTGACAACCAATTGTAACTGTAACTGCTGACAAGAAATACTTTTAGTCATAAAACAAGTGGAAGAAACAATGATAAAGTTAATACTTTATCTTTTTTGTTTCCTTCGTCCTATTGATAAATGTTACCGCAATACTGCATTGGTTGGGAAAAAAGTTGTAGTTTTGAAGTAAGTTGTCAAACTAATTGCTATCTGATCCCCATTCTTACATGTGTTTGGTCAAATGTCATCATTATTCAAGCGGTAATTTATTGTGTATAATTACTTATGTATGTATCTATGTGTTTTGCTGTGTCCTTGAGTCGTTTTTTTTAAGTGAGTTAACGATATAATAATTAAAGATAATATAAAGGAAGTAATACTATCAAATATCGTTCCTTTCATTAATGACAAGAAAAAAAAAGAATAATAGTAATAATTACACAAATATTGTGGTTGAAAGTTATTTTCTGTATTCATACATAAACACATATACAAACTCTCAAAGACCTTCAATCAGCCAATCGATCGATTTTTTGGTTTAAATTGGAAAATAAGCTTATTTTGTGATCACTCATACTCCTTCAAAAATCGATTTTTTTGGCCGAAATCTTAAATCGCTTATAACTTCGTTAAAACACGTTTAAATTGAAAAATAAGCTTATTTTGTGATCACTCATATTTTCCTTCAAAATCGATTTTGTTGGTCGAAATCTTAAATCGCTTATAACTTCGTTAAAACACGTTTAAATTGAAAAATAAGCTTATTTTGTGATCATACTTTCCTTCAAAATCGATTTTTTTGGTTGAAATCTTAAATCGCTTCTAACTTCGTTAAAACACGTTTAAATTGAAAAATAAGCTTATTTTGTGATCACTCATATTTTCCTTCAAAAATCGATTTATTGGTCGAATTCCTAAATCGCTTATAACTTCGTTAAAACACGTTTAAATTGAAAAATAAGCTTATTTTGTGATCACTCATATTTTCCTTCAAAAACCGATTTTTTTGGTTGAAATCTTAAAACGCTTATAACTTCGTTAAAACACGTTTAAATTGAAAAATAAGCTTATTTTGTGATCACTCATATTATCCTTCTATAACTTCGTTAAAACACGTTTAAATTGAAAAATAAGCTTACTTTGTGATCACTCATATTATCCTTCAAAAATCGATTTTCTGCTCGAAATCTTAAATCGCTTATAACTTCGTTAAAACACGTTTAAATTGAAAAATAAGCTTATTTTGTGATCACTCATATTTTCTTCTGAAAATCCATATTTTTGGTCGAAATCTTAAATCGCTTATAACTTCGTTAAAGCACGTTTAAATTGAAAAATAAGCTTATTTTGTGATCACTCATATTTTCCTTCAAAAATCGATTTTTTTGGTCGAATTCCTAAATCGCTTATAACTTCGTTAAAACACGTTTAAATTGAAAAATAAGCTTATTTTGTGATCACTCATATTTTCCTTCAAAAATCGATTTTTTTGGTTGAAATCTTAAAACGCTTATAACTTCGTTAAAACACGTTTAAATTGAAAAATAAGCTTATTTTGTGATCACTCATATTATCCTTCTATAACTTCGTTAAAACACGTTTAAATTGAAAAATAAGCTTACTTTGTGATCACTCATATTATCCTTCAAAAATTGATTTTTTTGGTCGAAATCTTAAATCGCTTATAACTTCGTTAAAACACGTTTAAATTGAAAAATAAGCTTATTTTGTGATCACTCATATTTTCTTCCGAAAATCCATATTTTTGGTCGAAATCTTAAATCGCTTATAACTTCGTTAAAGCACGTTTAAATTGAAAAATAAGCTTATTTTGTGATCACTCATATTTTCCTTCAAAAATCGATTTTTTGGTCGAAATCTTAAATCGCTTATAACTTCGTTAAAACACGTTTAAATCGAAAAATAGGCTTAATTTGTGATCACTAATATTTTCTTTCAAAATTCGATTTTTTGGTCGAAATCTTAAATAGCTTATAACTTCGTTAAAACACGTTTAAATTGAAAAATAAGCTTATTTTGTGATCACCCACATTATCCTTCAAAAATCGATTTTTTTGGTCGAAATCTTAAATCGCTTATAACTTCGTTAAAACACGTTTAAATCGAAAAATAAGCTTATTTTGTGATCACTCATATTTTCCTTAAAAACCGATTTTTGTGGTCGAATTCTTAAATCGCTTATAACTTCGTTAAAACACGTTCAAATTAAAAAATAAGCTTATTTTGTGATCACTCATATTTTCCTTCAAAAATTG